GATTATTGGCCTTAAGGGACCGTTTCTCCACTACCAGGTCCATTGCAAATGAATGGTTTGCAGAACACGGAAGACCTATTGGCATGCGAAGTGTTTACCGACGAATGAGAAGTTTTGGCTTGTTTTCATACCGGCCACACTGGGTCCTCCCTTTAACTCGGGAACACCGACGTAATCGCCTTGAGTGGTGCAGACAACGGTCACTCTGGGATCAGGAATCAGTATTGTCTTTAGTGACGAGTCTCGATTTTGTTTAAGCATGCACGATGGTTGTGTCAGGGTTAGAAGGCGACCTGGTGAAAGGAGGAATCCACAGTTTTTTGTTGAAAGACATGTTCATCACACTGTTGGAGTTATGGTTTGGGGTGCTATAGCTTATGGTTCCAGGTCACCTTTAATCTTCATAAGAGGTAACATGAACGCGCAGCGTTATATCCACGAAGTTCTAGAACCTCATCTTTTACCCTATCTTGACACCCTGGCAGATCCAACTTTCCAACAAGATAATGCCCGACCACATGTTGCAAGAGTCACAATAGACTTCTTTCAACATAATGATGTCACATTGTTACCATGGCCACCAAGGTCTCCCGACTTATCCCCAATTGAGCACGTGTGGGATCTGATGGGTAGGAGATTGCTCAATTTGCAACGTCCTCCTCAGACTCTAGAAGCACTTCGAGAGGAGTTGGTGGTTGCCTGGAATGAGATACCACAGGAGGACATTGACCACCTGATCAGAAGCATGCCTAGGCGCGTTGGAGAATGCGTAGCGCATCAGGGTGCATCCACACATTATTAAAGGTCAAACTTATTATGCTTCATTAAGTACTTATACAAAATTTTATTAAAATAAAACCATTTAAACTGGGTGTTCGGATTTATATGTCACTTAGTATATATCGATTTCAATTTTTCAAAGAGCAATATGGATATGTTAAAAAAATTATATGGAAAGATTTTTTATTGAGATACGGTGAAAACACTATCGTTCATGATGTGACGTCATAGAAGGTGTGTGTGTTTTTAGATGAAGGTTTTACGATCTTTTAGGTCTGAAAAATATACTATTAATTTTTTTGGCCCAATAGAACAAATATTAACAATTTAAGTCTTACTTAAAAGACGTGTCAACTAGCCTGTTGTAACCAACATATCGCATATCAAAGTTTCTCTTTAATGGAATGCCCGAATGTACCGTATCGTCGTCTACTATTGTAGGATACCTTTATGGACTCCTCGATTTTCATAGTTTTTCCTGACCTTCAGAAACGCATGGATATTTCTATATTTCTACGTTCTCGTGTCAGCGTTCTATTTTGATGTTATAAAGGGTTGTCCAATAGGGACGCAGGAAAGTAAACGTCAATTTGACATAGACACCATCTTTGTTTTCTGTCACCGATATGTCATTTTGTTAGTTGAATGTTTACCATTGATCGCTATGGAGTCGTATTCGATTGAAGACCGCATTAAAGTTATTCAAGAGCACTAGAAAAATGGTGCAAAAATAAAAAACACGTTTCGCGCGCTTCGTGAACATTTCGGTCGCAACAACAGCCCAAACGAAACAACCATCGGTCGTCTGGTGCGTAAATTCGAGGCAACAGGTTCTGTGGCAAATCTGTCAGGGTCTGGCCGGCCAAGGAGCGTTCGCACACCGGAAAATATTGCTGTTGTGAAGGAGAGTGTGAGAGACGATCCGCAACAATCAACAACGCGTCGATCCCAAGAGTTGGGCATTTCGAGAACCAGTTTGCTCCGAATTCTCCACAAGGATTTGAATGTACACGCCTACAAGATCCAATTGACGCAACAGCTGCGTCGGGCCGACCATTTTTCGCGCCGAACGTTCTCAGATTGGCTCCTTGAACCGCTAAATTGATGCCAATTTTTCATCAAAAATCATGTTCAGCGACGAAGCGCATTTCACTTTTAATGGGACGGTAAACAAGCAAAACTGCCACATCTGGGCGAACGAAAATCCCAGTGAGTATCAAGAGCAGCCGATGCATCCTCAAAATGTGACTGTCTAGTATGTATTGTGGTCAAAAGGCATCATCGGACCTTACTATTTCGAAAATGCGGCCGGGGACGCCGTTACCGTCAATTCTGAGCGATATCACGTAATGATAGAGGACTATTTTTTGCCGCAACTTGAAGGAATGGATATGGACGATGTTTATTTCCAACAAGACGGTGCAACATGCCACACCACCAACGTCAATATCCATCGATTGCAGTCCTTCTTCGGTGATCGCGTGATTTCGCGCAAAGGAAATGTGCCATGGCCACCAAGATCGTGCGATTTGACTCCCTTGGACTTATTTTTATGGGGATAAGTGTTGTTATAAATCAGTGTAAGACTAATAAATCAGACTTTGGACTGTAAAACGGTGTTTTCGTTACAATATCGTTCTTGGAATAAGCAACGATTATAGCTTGGATATCTGCTCTGCTCAGTATTTGGTTTTTATGAGGTTACGCTAGGGTGCCATCTCTGTACCAGTGCCGTAAAGTTTATCTTGACGTACGCTAAGCGAATGAAACGATGCCACGTGTGGAGGGGATGAGAAATATTAAAATATTCCAAGGTCCAAGACTTGGTTCATTTATATTCCCGATGTTAGGAATATGCATGTTTTCTTGTATAGGCACGTTGATAAAAAAATTGTAGTCGTCACTGCGTTTTGCATAAAATAAATGTAAATTGTCATGAAAGAAGAGGCTCGTAATTATATAATTGTCATATTATCGAGCTGATGTAAAATAGAGTATTTTTAAATGCTATTTGACGCACATGCTATTATCATCTATACACGACATACAATTTGATGCAAGCTATAAAAATATTACTATTAACACTTTTGCGTAATTCTGCATCAGGTTACATTTGACACAGCGTTTTGGTAGTCAACAATACCGTTAACGTCAACCTCTTTCGAGATTTGTACCACGTGCCTTAAATGTTAAAATAACATTGAAGTTTTACGTACTACGTAGGTATGCGATTCTTGTAAATGCCAAAACTCCCTTTTAAAAAAGTAGCCATTTCGGATTTATAGCAAGAAGGTTGCATTAATTACCTTTATACAAAAAAGTGACCGTAGTGGTATAGTTGCGTATGAATCTTTAGCTGCAGTCACCGTTCTTGACAGGTCAAAGTATGACTACCAGTATATATATATATATATATATATATATATATATCTCCTCCTCCCTCATACACACACATGCAACGTACCCCTGTGTGTGGACGAATCGGATTTCATTCAATAAGTTCAATCCCTTAAAAAAATTGATCAAATTAGTCCCAGTGAATATGATGACGCCAAAATGACGTTATTATTCGATCACTTTTGGTCGGACACATCATTCAGTAAAAAATGACGTCTCTGTTCACGCAATTTTAAAGACGAGAACAAGATGTCTTTTGAAACGCCGTCATTTGGACAGTCAGTATTGAAAAATTAACACTTATCTACAAAGAAAATATAGACTTTCAATGAAAAGAAAGGTAAACCAGACATCCTAATACTGCTAACTACTTTATTGTGATTTATGAAAAGTATCAGGAATCTGTTGTAAGTTTTAACTCAATCTTACAAGATAAAACTCTATGGATTTCGGTCAACAGAGTCATGCATCAAACCTCTTAAAAATGACATATTTTGTGGAACACCCACAACATCTGCACGGGTATCATGTAAAAAACCTATAAAACGTCAGAAAAACCTATAACATGTCATCTTGCAAACTAGGTAGTCTTGAGGGCGCAAACAGTCGTTCCATGTTTGCTCACTAGGATCGTTGTGAACGTCCATCTATGGAGGAATCACTCAACTAAACTACACGCATTATTGGTTGCATATGTTTTGTGAGGCCGAGTGGTCCTTGTCTGTAGTTTTTATCTCTGAAAATAAAGTTGGTTGAATAGCAAGATCGCATCTGGATAATTATGTGTATTGGTCTGCATATGTATAAAATCAGTGATATTTACTGTGAGAGAAAATTATTACTGAATATGCTGTCAATGGAGTATATCTATTGGCTGTGCCCGACAGATTATTTTTATGTTGTGCATTCTGAAGAGAGGTTATGTTCAAAGTTATAAATTACGGAAAACTGAGGAGAATTACGGTAAAGCATCACCGCGTCCGCGTTGTGTGTAATTACTGGTAGCTTGTATATGGCTTGTAATTCGACAGTGTACAGTGAATATAATTATTTCTTATCTCCCTCATTTTTGAAATTCAGCAAATTTGTATAGGTAATGGATAAGACAAAGTGGCCGCGCAACTAATTTCTAGCTTTGAATCTCAATTAAGTGTATTTGAGACCAGAACCCAATGTAATTATCATCAACACATACCACTTACAGTTTAGACCTCGAGTAATGCCATCTCAGAAGCAGATTTTACATCACATCAGAACCAAAGATTGATAACAAGCCTCGTGACGTTTAGGCAACACGTACAACTAAGTGCTAAGCTAACATCTTGTAGAAAAACCTACATAATTTCAAAAAAAACAGCATAATGCCACTTTTCAAAATACGTGATACCCGTGCTGGCCCAATTACAGCACGAGACGAGGCTCAACATGTATGTAAATGCATGGAAGTGGCTCAAAACACTTCAGAATTTTACAATAGATAATAAATGGCACAAATCTTCGTTTTTAGATTATTGGTATAAACATTAGAACACACCGCTTTGGAATTGTATGTGTTTTTATTTATTGTATATAGAACGACTGATAGGTTTCAACTTATTATTTTCAAAGGTGAATCAATCGTTGAAGGGGACCGATCTGCTCAATCGTACGGTTTTCAAAGATGATGACTTTTGCACTTGACCAATATTCGCAGAACTATTGGAAAGCCCCTTGTAGGTGCAGCAAAATTTGCTTTTCCAGAGTGTCGGTCGATCTGTTCTATGTGAACCACCTGGCTTGACCTTTCTTCCTTCTTAATCTTCTTCTGTCTGCTGTCATTATTTTATGACTTTAACCAACAAAGATTTTTTGTTGAATTTACTGCAAAATATATACAGAAATTGCAATATCATTAAATTTCAACTAAAAATTAAAAGTCCTTTACCTAAATCCTAAAATGCTTATCAAAGTCAAGGTAAGTTTTTAGGTTAAGTTTGCCGGTTCATATTTTGACTCCCAATTTTTTGAAAATTCTTGTATTGTGACCACTCGAAATAGCGATAAAAAGCGTGAAACTACGAACAGCTAAACTTCATAGCATTGTTAACGTGAATTAACGTATAGGTAGGAATCTAATGGTTGTGCTGTCTCAATTTCAGACCTTGACTGGTAAAGAAATTGAAATTGACATAGAACCCACTGATAAAGTAGAAAGAATAAAAGAAAGAGTCGAAGAAAAGGAAGGAATACCCCCACAACAGCAACGGCTGATATTTTCAGGAAAGCAAATGTAAGTTATAAGATACCGAACTGTCCTTTTAATTAACTTTACTCAGTATAAATAAAGTGATATGAATTAAGTTTGAGAGGGTTCTGATCTAAATTTGGATATAAAATAATAGTCTCATCAATGTTTTTACAGGAAATTATAATATTGTAGTAGATCTAATCCTAATTGAAACAGCAAAAAATCAGAGCTGTCAGAAGCAGGGTGATCACTCATTGTAAGACGTATTTGCTGCTGCGGTCTTTTATCTATGTAGGATGTCACACCTTTCTGTACCTCTGAGTTTTGTCATTGTTTCAGTTGGGATTGCAGTGCTTAAATCAAGGGACAGTACTCAGAATAATGGAGGTTTTAGGATTTTTCCTTGTACCTAGCACCTGATTAAGGCTAATGTTTAGTTACCGAGTAGGCACATCTCGAACCTGAAGTGCTATTTTTCCAGTTTATTTCATTATTCTTATATTTCTGTGAATTGATCAGTTCACAAACTGCTTAAGTCCATTTTTTACCAACAGGCTTTTTTTTACTCAAAATGCTTCATTAGAAGTAGATGTGTTTTTTAGGTATACACTTGTAAATCACTATATTCTTTTCCATTTAAATAACACTGTTTAATACATGTTTAGTGCAAAATCGTGAGACCAAGACTTACATGGTTTTTGCATACACTATTCCATGATAGGTGCTTGATTGGGTCATTATCAGATGCCTGATCATTTTACCTTCATATCTAAGTGTTATATGGACCTTTAAATGTAGGCTAAATATTCTAAACACCAGTCATATAGTACAAAGGTGCACATCTATCGTGCAATGCCATTTTCTTCGTTGAAAAAATACAATCAATTACTGACTAGTGAAAAAATAAGAAATGTGGATGATTAAGTCTGTGTACATTATTCCGGTGTTTGTTTGGCCCATAAAAACACATATATTTGTATGTGGTTTTATTGACCATACAAATGGGGGATTATTGACATGAAAATTACAGGATAAGTTTCAAATAATACAGTAAATTTATGTATGTTTTCACAATGGTTGATTCATCGCTCAGATGTAAAATGGGAAATTAGATTTCCCCAGGTGTTCACTATGCCTAGGTTTCCCCTATGTATTAAAACATGCAAAGTTAAAAAATGTGGCATGTTGTAAGTCATTGTTTGAGTGTAATTTGAAATAATAGGTAATGAGAAAAATGATTAATATGATTCTTCCTTAAGTCAGTTACATACCACTACTCATATTCTCTCCTAAAACTACAGAAGTCCATAACAGCTTTTCAGGCTTCTTTCGTTATTATTTTTGATAAACTTTAAAGGTATCTCACATACTAGGATTTTATTCTTATCCAGGATGTAGCTTTTGGATTAACACATTGCTAAACAAACCTACTTATTGCCATTTTATTTACCTACTAATTGTAAGTTTTTAATTTCAGGAATGATGAAAAAACAGCTCAAGACTATAAAGTCCAGGGTGGATCTGTATTGCATTTAGTGTTAGCATTACGTGGTGGTGTTTAGACTGCGAACTGTAAATTATTTTCTTTTCTGTATTGTGTAAGCAAAAATGTAATTTAAAATAAAGTTTTTTTTTATTTTCAACCCAACTTATTTTTATTTTGAAACTTTTAGACATTTTTAGTCAGACAGTGGTCTGGTAAACACCTGTTCCTGAGATGTCTGAAAAATCTGTGTCAAAAGTATCGTTACATTATGGAGAGAAATAAATTAGTGAATTTTTTGTGTTATTTAAATAGTGTAGGATATAAAGGTAAGAAAACATGAAGGTTTCTCTAAAGATAATTCAGAATTCAGTTTTTGAAAATATATAACCTATAAAATAAATGTTTGTGATGTGGTGACATCTAGTGGTAGGCTTTCTTATTTTTTTTGTTTCATAGCTTTTATAGCGGTTTATTAAATTCGGTAGCTAAATATATACATTATGCATTTTGCCGTTAGATGGCAGCAGTGTATTTAACCTCTGCCATCTGTCGTCTAGTGGATGAAGGCCTGTCTATCAAAAGATCTCTCATGTCAGGGAATTTCAAACTCATGCAAATTAGTACCGACAGATGTCGCACTTTTCAATCTATATACGAGGGTGATAAAATAAATTTAGAATATACTTGGAAAAGAGGAGTTTGTTGATATGATTCGAGGACAGATTGGTGTTTTTCTACCACTGCGATATTTTGCAAATTATGTAGACAACAGACTTTATTGAATGCAGACTCTATTTATCTACAACTTTCAAAGTGAGAATAAATAGAATAAGAATATATACAGATCAATGTTGAGTGCTAGAAAGGCTCCCTCGTAGTCAAGGGGGGAGGCGTTTGTACGCCTAAGCACTGAAACAGAAATCAATAGCGGGGGGTGAGATATGCTTAGGAAGGGCCCACGTTGGATGATTCAGGTGTAGCAGTATGTACCATTTTCTTGAAAAAAATGGCAGACTTTAGCGCCAAGGGTGGGGGCGGTGTTGCGCAATGGATTGTCGTATTTTTGTTCCACATTTGGTTTGGCTGGCTCTAATACTTGCAGCTGCTTGGGTCCAAATATAACACTCCATTAAAATAACATATTAGGTCAAAGATAGACATTCTTTCCCTCTACTTATAGTTACCGACCATGTGGCAACGTTGTCCTTTTTCACATCTGCGCGCCATCGGTGCAGCGAGTTATCTTTCGTTTCAGGCAAGGTCCGTATGTTTTTGCATTTCAGTACGTATCATGTAAACTGGTACTTGCAAAAATCAGAATCGTTTCAATTGGAAAAGTAGTGGAAAAATGAATTGCTTAATTCCTTAATTGGGAGTGGTTGAACAGCAAAAAACTCAAAATCTGCACGTAAAAATAATTACCAGGTTACAGAAAAATCAAGTACTTTAATGTAACCTAAATATTGTTGTCAAATTTTGTAAGCAGTGTTGGTATAAGCTATTGTCAAAACGTGATACCTATATCTCAGTAGATTTTATATTGGTAGAGCGTTAGAACTATACTTGTAATAGATTTCATTTACGAGCTTTCCCGTAAGTGAATGTCACACGACCAGTACTGTGGTCCCTACCATCAATATTTTCTAGTCATTCCGTCAGAGGTAGTTAATTTCTAACCTCGTAAAACAATTTATTACTGACATCGTGGCTATTCGGTCAATTTTGATTCCATGATAAATAGTGACAGACCACATCAGTGCCGTTCATAGTAAATACTGATCGTGTAACATTTTCCATACAGTATCTATACTAAGTGACATATAAATCCGAACACCCAGTTTAAATGGTTTTATGTTAATACCACCAACTCCTCTCGAAGTGCTTCTAGAGTTTGAGGAGGACGTTGCAAATTGAGCAATCTCCTACCCATCATATCCCACACGTGCTCAATTGGGGATAAGTCGGGAGATCTTGGTGGCCATGGTAACAATGTGACATCATTATGTTGAAAGAAGTCTATTGTGACTCTTGCAACATGTGGTCGGGCATTATCTTGCTGGAAAGTTGGATCTGCCAGGGTGTCAAGATAGGGTAAAAGATGGGGTTCTAGAACTTCGTGGATATAACGCTGCGCCTTCATGTTACCTCTGATGAAGATTAAAGGTGACCTGGAACCAAAAAACTGTGGATTCCTCCTTTCACCACGTCGCCTTCTAACCCTGGCATGACCATCGTGCATGCCTAAACAAAATCGAGAGTCGTCACTAAAGACAATACTGTTCCATTCCTGATCCCAGAGTGACCGTTGGCTGCACCACTCAAGGCGATTACGTCGGTGTTCTCGAGTTAAAGGGAGGACCCAGTGTGGCCGGTATGAAAACAAGCCAAAATTTCTCATTCGTCGGTAAACACTTCGCATGCCAATAGGTCTTCCGTGTTCTGCAAACCATTCATTTGCAATGGACCTGGTAGTGGAGAAATGGTCCCTTAAGGCCAATAATCTCAGGCGGCGATCTTCACGGTCTGTTGTTCTACCGCGGCGTCCAGTGCCCCTTGCTCTTTGCGTACGGCCTTCTCGATGCCATGCTTGACAACACCTAACCACAGTGCCTACACTTCTTTGCACTCTAACTGCAATTGCCCGAAAAGAAAGTCCAGCTTCCCGAAGTCCCACTATACGGCCCCTATCAAACACACTAAGTTGACGAAATCGTACAGGTCTCCGTACTCTAGGCATCGTAACCGATCGTAAAGGATGTCAAGAACCAAAATCCGCCAACGTTGATTCTTTACTGCGGCTGAAATATTCATTTTTAGAGCGTTAGTGAAATAAAAAAAAAGCAGTATAAAAACCGGAATGTCCAACTGATAAGGCTGAAATTTTTTTCACTTGTTATTTACAGTAAGATAAATACATTCACCAACTTTTATTAAAATAAAACCATTTAAACTGGGTGTTCGGATTTATATGTCACTTAGTATATGTTTTACGTAAAATTGCGGCTTAAACCGACCCTGCTATCTCATTTTTAAGGGAATCATCATTACGATGAACATCTTATCTCAAGATTCGAAGAAATATGCGGAAAGCTGTCATGCAATTTGGACGGTATTATGTCAAGCCTTCATTCTATCTCTAAATCATATTCTTCTCCAAAGCTAACGCCTGAATGGAAGTATATTCTTCTCAATTTCTACATGTTGAAATTATTTAACGAAGAGTTGGAGGCATCAGCAGATATATTGAGCGTGCAGCAAAGGAAAAGCGTAAAGGATTGTATCAGGAATCTCGTGACAGTTGGTATAGCAAGTAAATTGCACCCTCAGTTGCCTTTCCATATGAAAATCTCAGACTCTGATCAACACGAAGACTTTTTGGTGGTTTACAACATACTGAAATGCACTACCTTAGGCTTGTGTGAGTCCTTGAAGATCCCCAACCTGCGATTATTAATTTTGCCGGACAGCCTGAAAGAAATATTGGTTGCTACATACCAGCTGGCTTTTTGCCCTTTGAAAAAGCCCTCGACGGATGGTCCAATCACTGCAGAACTGTACGCTCAATTTTTAGAAGACAGGAAGATATTTGAGAACATTTTAGAGCAGCTGAACTCCAATATTCATCCTTTGATATATTTGAAAGTGACTATGGTTATCTTCCAAGCAAATTCGCCGTCTTGGTTCAAAAAATCAGTGTCCCAAACTCTGACGAATGCATTAAGGGCAAATTACGGCGTAGAAAACATTGCAACAGTGTTATTGGATGGTGTGAGTGATGACAGTGGTCAAACATGGAAGATATTCGAGGTTTTCACGAGACTCATCCAGAGTTGCAAGCAGTTTCCTGATTTTAAAGATAATATTTGCAAGCAACTGCTTGGTTTCCTAGAAAAAGTGACAGATCACACACTGGTATTTGAAAGAATTTTTGTCCATTGCACCAAAAGTTTTTATCAGACAGATGAAGAGCTAGCAAGGGATGTTTTTATCAGACCAATAATGAGCTATTTTTTATATTTCACTTACAGTCACACTTTTTCCGATAATGAAGATATAACAGATAAGATGAAACAACATGTACGGATATTGCAGTCACTGTTGACAGAAAGTAATCCTCAATGCCCAAACTTACCTTTGAGTATGCTGAGACCTGTGTTACAAGTGTTATTTCGCCTTTATTGCTTGACCTCTGATACTTCGTTAGAGTTGACACGAAACGAACTGAAACAGTTACTGACTACATATCTAGAAACATACAAAGACGAAATCAATACAATATTTGACAGTTTCCTTTTCAACATTCATTCCAATGATATCCTAGCGTTCAGGAATGACGTAGCTTTAAAAGCAGATGAAGGAAAAGTTGTTGTGAGTTCCTCTGACCATGCCGTCCTCTATTCTGTGTCTGAAAATTGTGAATGTACTCTAAAACTATTAAAAAATAAGCAAGATTTGACCGTTAGATTGTTTGTATATCTTTTGAGCTGTTTGAGTGATGAAGGAAAGTATTTTAAGAAGGCTAACGAAGAGCTCTTGAACTTTGAAAGTGAAGTTATGAATGAATTCTTCGAGGCAAAGCTAACGGTGTACAAGATACTTTCGGAGCTGTCTGAAGATAAGGATATCCAGAAAAAGATAACTGGGAATCCAGGTTATGTTGTTGGTTTCGTCAGCACTGTCATAAAAAATACTTTGGAGTTATTGACTCGTGAAAAGGCGCAGACTGACTCAGAAGCATATCAAATCCTTTTTACTGTGTTGATTATCCTTCAAAATCTTGTTATGAATTCATCTAAAGAGGAAATAGAACATTACAAAATATTAAAGGCTGACCTAGAAAAAATATGTGCTGCAACAGACGACAGAGAGACGAACAACATTATAAGAGAGATATTGGGAGGTATGATACCAGGAAAGGGTAAACAAAAAATAACGGTAGAAGAAAAGAAAGAGAAAACTGAATTAGATAAAGCTTTGGAAGATATTTATGACCCAATCTTGCCAACTAGAGGACATGGACTAATGACCTTGGCAAAACTGTTGGAGAAGAAGGATAAAGATGCTTTGGAGAGGAAGCAGTTTTTACTAAATCTGTTTCAGGTAATTATATTTTTATAAACAACAAAGTCTTACATCATTATTGCTGCCATTTGAGCTTCTTTTAAATATTTGTTGAATCTCCTTTAACATAAATCAAGAAGTTGGTCGACGGGGAACATTTTTAAACAAATTATAAACATTGTTTTGCTCAAAGTTTTTCAGGGTATTTTTAAAACATTTTGAACATAAAAGGTCCTCAGTAACTTTCTTCTAAAGTCGGGCGCTTTTGGGTTAAAGCTTCACTTGAATACTGGCTTAAACCTAAATATGGTCATTTTCAGTGCTATGTTGAAAGTTTATATTTTTAACGTTAGCGCTTGTTTAAATCAAAGTCCTAACTTATAGGACATCGAAGGATTACCTTATTTCAGAGCCTTGTTAACCAATTGTCAACAACGCGCTTTTAATGCTTTAAAAATACATTTAAGTCAACAAATGGGTAATGTTATAAGATTCAGGAATAAAAGCATATTCAACATTATTTTTGCTACAAGTATCCTTTCGAAATTATAGCATTTTATTTAGTTTTTTATGACGTTTCAGCAAAATTTAAAGAATGAAGATTCTTATATCTACTTAAGTGCTATCGGAGGTCTAGCAGCCTTAGCGGATGTATTTCCGGATACTGTTTTAAATGTCCTCTGTGAGGAATACTCTGACACTTCTAAGAAGTACAACGATGATGGTCATGAAGTCAGAATGAAGTTAGGCGAAACCTTAGTCAGAGTCACAAAGATACTAGGTATGAGTTCCCAATTTTAAAACTTCATTTTCTATTATCATTATCCATTAATATGTAAGCACTTCAACCGTTACCTCCATAATATGGGTATCAAATGAAAGGGCTTGATGAGAGAAACGCAATAAGTAAAGTGATGTCATTCTAAATCCAATATGGCGGTCATAGCAAAACGGCGATTTACGTTTTCTACAGTTACCCCTATGATATGAGTATCAAATAGATGAGAGATGAGAGAAACGCAATTAGCAAAGTGACGTCATTTTAAGTCCAATATGGTTGCCGCCACAAAATGGCGATTTACTTTTTCCGCAGTTTCCCCTGTGTTATGGATATCAAATAAGAGGGCTTGATGAGAGAAACGGAATTAGTAGAGTGACGTCATTCTAGATCCAATATGGTGGCTGCAGAAACATGGCGTTTTAGATTTTTCATTGTAACCCCTATGATATGGGTATCGAATAAAAGGGCTTGCCGAGAGAAACACAATAAGCAAAGTGATGTTATTCTAAATCCAATATGGCGGTCATAGCAAAACGGCGATTTACGTTTTCTACAGTTACCCCTATGATATGAGTATCAAATAGATGAGAGATGAGAGAAACGCAATTAGCAAAGTGACGTCATTTTAAATCCAATATGGATGCCGCCACAAAATGGCGATTTACTTTTTCCGCAGTTTCCCCTGTGTTATGGATATCAAATAAGAGGGCTTGATGAGAGAAACACAATTAACAAAGTGACGTCATTTTAAATCCAATATTGATGCCGCCACAAAATGGCGATATACTTTTCCGCAGTTTCCCGTGTGTTATGGATATCAAATAAGAGGGCTTGATGAGAGAAACGCAATTAACAAAGTGACGTCATTCTAGATCCAATATGGTGTCCGCCGCAAAATGGTGATTAACATTTTTGGCAGTTACCCCTATGTTATGGATATCAAATAGGAGGGTTTGATAAGAGAAACGCAATAAGCAAAGTGACGTCATTCTAAATCTAATATGGTGGCTGCAGAAAGATAGCATTTTAGATTTTTCATTGTAACCCCTATGATATGGGTATCGAATAAAAGGGTTTGCCTAGAGAAATACAATAAGCAAAGTGATGTTATTCTAAATCCAATAAGGCGGCAAACGAAAAATGTCGTCACCCCTATACTATCTATATCAAATGAAGGGGCTTGATGAGAGAAACATGGGGAGCAAATACCGTCATTTTAAATTCCATATGACGCTCGCCGCAAAATATCGATTTGTCGTTATATGATTATATCTATCGAAATTTTATAATACAAATAAAGTAGGAATTTGTATGCAGTCTTATTGATGAAACTTATAAACTACTTAATCGACATCATAAATACTAAAAAGTAAAAAATACATTTTAAAAAACAAGCTTTTATTTAGCAGTTGATTGAGAATCTAGATATCAACATCAAGACAGCCGCCACATAAACATAATAAGCAATAGAAATACTCGTTTTATTTATATCACCCAACTGTAGCTTTTTTACGCACAGTTCATGAGAAACACTTCACTAGTTTCTAAGAGGGGTGATTCGATGAGGAATTAGTCGCATACACAACGGGATTTTTCAGGAGTTACGGGGAACAAACAGGAATTGCGATGAATTAACTGGAATTATTGGGAATTACAGGAAATCGCAGTGAATTATGAGGAATTATCGGAAATCGCACGAGGTATTCCGAATATATATATTATTTGTGAACTTCTTTTCATTAATTTAGCAAAAAACTTTTTTGTTTGCCATTCAATCATAATTATGTATGCCGGCCCTGTACCAGATTGCATACGCGGCTAGATGTAAACTGGTCCGAACTCTGTTACACACAAACTGATGAAATGATATTATCATAAACCGTATATTTTAAATAAGAAAAAAAGGGACTATCATTTTCCCAGAAAATATATAAGATGTTTCATTAAAAAAAATTATTATAACTATACTAAGTTACATATAAATTCGAACACCCAGTTTAAATGGTTTTATTTTAATTAAATTTTGTATAAGTACTCAATGAAGCATAATAAGTAAATGATAAAATTTTCAAAATGATCGCACTGCTTTAAAGCCCTTTGACCTTTAATAATGTGTGGATGCACCCTGATGTGCTACGCATTCTCCAACGCGCCTAGGCATGCTTCTGATCAGGTGGTCAATGTCCTCCTGTGGTATCTCATTCCAGGCAACCACCAACTCCTCTCGAAGTGCTTCTAGAGTCTGAGGAGGATGTTGCAAATTGAGCAATCTCCTACCCATCATATCCCACACGTGCTCAATTGGGGATAAGTCGGGAGATCTTGGTGGCCATGGTAACAATGTGACATCATTATGTTGAAAGAAGACTATTGTGACTCTTGCAACATGTGGTCGGGCATTATCTTGTTGGAATGTTGGATCTGCCAGGGTGTCAAGATAGGGTAAAAGATGGGGTTCTAGGACTTCGTGGATATAACGCTGCGCGTTCATGTTACCGCTGATGAAGATTAAAGGTGACCTGGAACCATAAGCTATAGCACCCCAAACGATAACTCCAACAGTGTGATGAACATGTCTTTCAACAAAAAACTGGATTCCTCCTTTCACCACGTCGCCTTCTAACCCTGGCACGACCATCGTGCATGCCTAAACAAAATCGAGACTCGTCACTAAAGACAATACTGTTCCATTCCTGATCCCAGAGTGACCGTTGTCTGCACCACTCAAGGCGATTACGTCGGTGTTCTCGAGTTAAAGGGAGAACCCAGTGCGGCCGGTATGAAAACAAGCCAAAACTTCTCATTCGTCGGTAAACACTTCGCATGCCAATAGGTCTTCCGTGTTCTGCAAACCGTTCATTTGCAATGGACCTGGTATTGGAGAAACGGTCCCTTAAGGCCAATAATCTTAGGCGGCGATCTTCACGGTCTCTTGTTCTACGGCGGCGTCCAGTGCCCCTTGCTCTTTGCGTACGGCCTTCTCGAGGCCATGCCTGACAACACCTAACCACAGTATCTACACTTCTTTGCACTCTAACGGCAATTGCCCGAAAAGAAAGTCCAGCTTCCCGAAGTCCCACTATACGGCCCCTATCAAACTCACTAAGTTGACGAAATCGTACAGATCTCCGTACTCTAGGCATCGTAACCGATCGTAAAGGATGTCAAGAACCAAAATCCGCCAACGTTGATTCTTTACTGCGGCTGAAATATTCATTTTTAGAGCGTTACTGAATTAAAAAAAAGCAGTATAAAAACCGGAATGTCCAACTGATAAGGCTGAACATTTTTTCACTTGTTATTTACAGTAAGATAAATACATTCACCAACTTTCATTAAAATAAAACCATTTAAACTGGGTGTTCGGATTTATATGACACTTAGTATATTATTCCCAGTAATTCCTGGCAGGAATTTCGGCTAATTTCCGGAAATTACGAGGGAGCTAGGAGAATTACGGTGTACACGGTGCGGGAATTATCTAAAACATGGGTAATTATTGGGCATCGATAGGAATTACGGCGAATTACCAAGAAATATTTCCCGTTATTGTACAGATTTTTTCGTACGGAGTGCCCCTCGGGTTTCTATGATTTATCGTATCTCCTATTTCTGTCGAATTTCTCAATTTTATTTTACGACCCTCATTTTTGTCTGTTTCAATTAGGACTAGAATATTAATCGAGTAGGACTGGAAAAAACTCGAACCGCACGGGAAGTGATTAGAACTTTTGATTTAATATAGGCCCGACATAATAGGAGACCCCATTGTGCGGCTTAAAATGAGAGATCATAAATAGTAATAATTATATAGCGGTGCAGGCGTAATGGCATTACATTTACACGGTTCGTGATGAGTTTTTTTTAAATGCACGACTGGTGTAGTCGTGACATCTTTACACTTGGCTGGCTTGCGTGAGGTGAGATAAAAATATCGGCCTATAACTGTATTCTTATGCGCCACTTTGAAAAAAGGCGCTTAATTGTGTCATTATAATTAGGAAACTGTTTAGTTGAACATCACTACGTGATTACAACTAGGACGGATGAAATGTGACAGCACGCACGATTTTCGGTTCAGTGATGAGGCACGTTTTTGGCTTAATGATTACGGTAATGAGCTAAATTGCTTTATAAGAGCTGCTTTCCAGTGCTGCTCCAGCGATGATTAAAGCCTAACCTGTTTTTTGATGTTTCGCTTTGACGTTGACAATTTGTATCACACTGCCGAACAACGAAAATGCAAACACATTTTGCCTTTATTTTCAGAAGCATTGTCAGACTATCCAATTGATGATCTGAGAGGTCTGCATTTTCATTGTAAGGCTTCTGAATAAACGTGTCGAATTCATATTTTAGTATAATAATTCAAAATTAGTTTCAAATTGTCTAGTTATAGATGATGCTATGAGCCTGCATTCTTGCACTTTCTTGCGATCTTTATTATCCTCAAATGTACGTTGTCACGCTGGGTCATAACATTATCACTTTTTGAACATCCTCCATTGTATACTAAGTGACATATAAATCCGAACACCCAGTTTAAATGGTTTTATTTTAATAAAATTTTGTATAAGTACTTAATGAAGCATAATAAGTAAATGATAAAAATTTCAAAATGATCGCACTGCTTTAAAGCCCTTTGACCTTTAATAATGTGTGGATGCACCCTGATGTGCTACGCATTCTCCAACGCGCCTAGGCATGCTTCTGATCAGGTGGTCATTGTCCCCCTGTGGTATCTCATTCCAGGCAACCACCAACTCCTCTCGAAGTGCTTCTAGAGTCTGAGGAGGACGTTGCAAATTGAGCAATCTCCTACCCATCATATCCCACACGTGCTCAATTGGGGATAAGTCGGGAGATCTTGGTGGCCATGGTAACAATGTGACATCATTATGTTGAAAGAAGTCTATTGTGACTCTTGCAACATGTGGTCGGGCATTATCTTGTTGGAAAGTTGGATCTGCCAGGGTGTCAAGATAGGGTAAAAGATGGGGTTCTAGAACTTCGTGGATATAAGGCTGCGCGTTCATGTTACCTCTGATGAAGATTAAAGGTGACATGGAACCATAAGCTATAGCACCTCAAACTATAACTCCAACAGTGTGATAAACATGTCTTTCAACAAAAACTGTGGATTCCTCCTTTCACCACGTCGCCTTCTAACCCTGGCACGACCATCGTGCATGCCTAAACAAAATCGAGACTCGTCACTAAAGACAATACTGTTCCATTCCTGATCCCAGAGTGACCGTTGTCTGCACCTCTCAAGGCGATTACGTCGGTGTTCTCGAGTTAAAGGGAGGACCCAGTGTGGCCGGTATGAAAACAAGCCAAAACTTCTTATTCGTCGGTAAACACTTCGCATGCCAATAGGTCTTCCGTGTTCTGCAAACCATTTATTTGCAATGGACCTGGTAGTGGAGAAACGGTCCCTTAAGGCCAATAATCTTAGGCGGCGATCTTGACGGTCTGTTGTTCTACGGCGGCGTCCAGTGCCCCTTGCTCTTTGCGTACGGCCTTCTCGAAGCCATGCCTGACAACACCTAACCACAGTGTCTACACTTCTTTGCACTCTAACTGCAATTGCCCGAAAAGAAAGTCCAGCTTCCCGAAGTCCCACTATACGGCCCCTATCAAACTCACTAAGTTGACGAACTCGTACAGGTCTCCGTACTCTAGGCATCGTAACCGATCGTAAAGGACGTCAAGAACCAAAATCCGCCAACGTTGATTCTTTACTGCGGCTGAAATATTCATTTTTAGAGCGTTAGTGAATTAAAAAAAAGCAGTATAAAAACTGGAATGTCCAACTGATAAGGCTGAACAATTGTTCACTTGTTATTTACAGTAAGATAAATACATTCACCAACTTTTATTAAAATAAAACCATTTAAACTGGGTGTTCGGATTTATATGTCACTTAGTATATCTATCGGTATAATGTGAGTTTAATGCAAAAAAATAAAAACGATGAAAAAACATAACCTAACAATCGTGACACGTTTGTGCCAACGTTTTATGCTAAAGTTTCTCCTAGGAATTTTTTAATTGAGTGCCTGAATGATCAACATAACTCGACGAGGTTCTGTTCGGAAAAGAATCGTCCTAATTTAATTTAGCAACCAATAATACAAATCGCACAATATGTTGAATTATTGAACGTGTAATAATTTTCTTTCAGGCGACATGGCTCCAAAATACAAACCTCTGCTACTAAATACATTTCTAGCAGGTGCTAAGGACGATGACGATTTAGTAAGGACATCTAGTCTTTCTAACTTAGGTGAAATATGTAGAGTCCTTGGATACAAATTGGGAACTATCATTACAGAGGTGAGTCACCATCAATAGAGTATCCAGCTGTTGTCAGGTAACCACAAATAGAAGTACAAAGGCAGAATTACAGATATCTTTCTCAAAGTATTTCCCACTGGTACGCACATTTTCACTATTTACAAAATTTTCTTATTAGTACCTACCTACTTTCTGTAAATTCAGGAAAATTATTGCAAAGTACTTCACACTTGCACTACAAGACATTTTATGGTGCACGATTGGGTTTTAAGACATTACATCAAAAGGATTCCCAGTTTGGATTATCACTCTAAGTTCTACGCTGTATTTCTTCACTTTCCTCAAAGTTAAGATGATTAAGAACGGGTAGTGGAAGCAAAGAAACGAAGAGGTGTTCAGATAAATCGTGGAACTTTTTTCATATGATCTAGAAAAGTAAAAGGTAGTTGTAGGTCTAAAATCAAGTTTTTCATGCAATGTTTTCTTTGAGTTTCAGAAAAGGGATCTAGAATGAAATTGTACATTTTTGACAAAATTATAGACGCTTTATTTCTGATTCCAAATTGTTTGTTATACTTATTTTCATTACTTTAGTCAAAGACATATCTTATCTTACATATAATCATATGTACCTGGCCTTGTACCAGATACCTTATGCCAGTAGCTGCAAGCTAATTTGAACAAAGCAACGAAAATAAGTGTGAAATATAATAAACATATGTATTTTTGTAGTAAGAAAAGGGACCTTTTTTTAGTAAAAATATTCAGCGTACGAGGGACGTCTTTTAAGTTTTGCTTATAGAAACATAGTAAGCCGCGCGGATCGAACGTCAGTACTGAATCTTAACCTCACTCTTTAGTAAACTTACAGCTAAAAAACAAGGCAGTATTTAACGGAAGAAAACGTGGAATTATTGGACCATCCTCCATATACGATCTAAGTCCTAACGATTTCTTTACTTTCCCGAAAATTAAAAACAGACTGCGTGGTCAAAGGTTCCAGTCACCAGAAGAAGCAGTTGACGCATTCAAAAATGCGGTTTTGGTTCTGCCAGCAAACGAGTGGAAAAAGTGCTTCGAAAATTGGTTCGAGCGCATGCAGATGTGTATTAATCTTCCTGGAGAATACTTCGAAAAACAATAGTCATTTAAAACTACCTACCGTGTTGTTTTATTTCCATATGCAAAACTTAAGAGACATCCCACGTATTCCATTAAAAATCGAGTCGGCGTCACTTTTCTGAGAGTATATTGAAAATACATTGCATTGAAAACTTTATATCAGGCTACAAATTTTGTATAAAGCTTTTTTTAAATGGTCATACCAAGCCGTATACAGGGTTATCCAAATTAAGTGTCCACCATTGGTAACTTTGTTATTAGTAAAAATACAAAGTTGTTTAAATTAGCAAACTAGAAGCATTTTTAACGCTGGTAAAAATGAGAAATAAAAAAAAAAACAATTGAGAGTCGTTATTTTGATTTTTTCAGTAAAATAACATTTTTTTAAATGGAAACCCCTGTATATTATATTTTTTTCTGTTAAAGCATCAAATTTTAAACAAAAAAGTTCATAATGACTTTTCTGCTAAAGTCAAAAATAAAGTCAAAATAACGATAAATATTTTTAATTATTTGCAGTATTATAATATTAAGACGGCTATGAAAACAACATGGCGTTCGCGATTTGACAGTATTAAGATAAGCGACAAATTGTTAAACTGGACATACTCGCAACTAGAAGGCTTTGGAAAACAATGATAAAATCAAATAATGTCAAACATTAGTGTAAATACTTGTTTATAAGCTTTATTGTGTCATTAATTTAAAGAAAAATGTTCTCCCATGAAGAAAAGTGTGATATGTTAGAATGCTATTTAGTGTGCAGAAAATCCTCCTTGAGAGCAAGAGTGAATTATATCCCGCTCGCATTCAACCGTATGAACGATATTTTCTGAGACTTTATCGAAAATTTAGGGGCAACGAAAATGTTTTTGCTAAAACAAGGGCAAAAAAAGAATTCATAATAAGCGAGGCCACGGAAATTGCAGTTATTGGATATTTTGAAGCTTATCGTGAGAATTCAATAGCAGATATTCTCAAGGACTCTAATTTCAGTTATGGTACTGTTCAAAGGATTTTAAAAAAATACAAATTTATTCCGTATAAGTACCGACCAGTTCAAACGCTTTTGGCAGGGGATCCAGAGAGAAGACTTGTTTTTTGCCATTGGTATCTTAGCTTCTGTCGCCAAAATGTAAATAACTTTCGTTACCTTTTATGGACAGATGAATCAAATTTTTCAAATTCTGGAATGTTTAATAGAAAAAACCACCATTATTGGTCAAGAGAAAATCTTTTGTTAGTACATCCAAGAAGCCCACAAGTCCGTTTCAGTTTCAACGTTTGGTGCGGTATAATTGGTTCAAAAATTGTTGGCCCGTTCTTTTATGAGGGAACCCTAACTGGTGAAAGATATGTGGAATTTATGTCAGAAATTCTGACTAATTTCTTATATGAATTGGATCTTATAAGTAGACATCATCTGCATTTTCAGCAAGATGGCGCACCTGCCCACAACTTTTCTAAGTACTACTTTTAATGATCAGTGGATAGGAACAAATGGCCCAATACAGTGGCCTCCCAGATCACCAGATCTAAACCCACTTGATTACTTCTTGTGGGGTTACTTAAAGAACCAAATTTACAAGCGAAGGTACGATAACCTTGACGCGTTAAAGACTGCAGTTAGGGAAAAGATAACCCAGATAGATGGTAGGACCATACTTAAGACAGTTCGAGCAGTTGAAAAACGTGCCCAAAAATGTATTGAAGAACAAGGTGGTGTTTTCGAGCATCTTCTTTAAAAAAAATTGTTATTGTATTTTGTAAGATTATAAGTTGATGTTGAAAATAAAGTTTGTCGATACAATTTAATTGTTTCAGATTGGAGGCCATAACTTCAACAATTTGTAACCTAGGAGAAAAGTTATTGTAAGCTTTTTTGTTTAAAATTTGATGCTTTAACAGAAAAAAATATAATATACAGGGGTTTCCATTTAAAAAAAATGTTATTTTACTGAAAAAAATCAAAATAACGACTCTCAATTGTTTTTTTTATTTCTCATTTTTACCAGCGTTAAAAATGCTACTAGTTTGCTAATTTAAACAACTTTGTATTTTCACTAATAACAAAGTTACTAATGGTGGACACTTAATTTGGATAACCCTGTATATAAAGAATTGTAGCGATTGGCTCAATACATTTTTTTAAATCGACTCAGTCCTATTACTTTCCGAACAAACCCTGTATGTATGGCATTTAAAAGTTTATCTCAAAATTTTTGCAATAATAAAACTGTTTTGGGAAGTAACTTATAAGATTTAATCGATTCATGCTTACCGTTCCCTTCTCACAGGTTCTGGTGTGCGTCCATGCCATAATTTCCACAGATAAATCTCCTCAAGCGAGACGAGCCGCAGTTACCGTACTGCGACAATTGTTCATAGGATTGGATACAGGAATGATAGAGTTCCTTAAAGAAGAAATCCTCCCGATCTACAGGACCCTCAAAGCTATCTACAGTGACGACAAAGATGACGTCATGAGGCTTCAAGCTCAGTTGGCTCTGGAAGAGCTGAACGAAAACGTAAAGAATTTCGTTTTTCCGAATCCGCAGTTGAGCGACCGAAAAGTAGTGGTGTTGAAGAGTTTGAAGAAGGATAGTGACGATTGGGAGTAGCATCAGTGGAACGTGTAGAAGAGAACAACTGTGGACAATTTGCATTATTATGAAAATAAAAGTTACGTGAATGATTTATACTTTCATTTACAAAAACTAACACAGACATTGTGAAACGTCACTTCTTTCAGATGTTCTTATTAGTAGCGTAGTAACTGCGGACGCTAAACTTTCATTATTTTTTAAATATCGTTCAATAATAAAAACACTTTGATGTATTGTTTAACGCTCCCTTTTTACTAACCTCTCAGTTGCCAAATTGTTCTTTTTTCAGGGCTGCCTACAATTTATTGCAAATATTTCGGCAAATTCAAAACTTGCGCTAAATTTGGGACACCCTTTATATTAGGTTGTGAAAACAAGTTATCTAGTCCATTCTTGTCTTCAGTGTAAGAAGTTACGTTGTACGTCATATTCAAGCAGGTGCCATGGGCTCTGTAGGTTAACCAAGCTGTTTGTCTTCAAATCAGATTTGAAAAACCGAAAATTTCACATCCCAATAGTAGTCACGAACTTGTAGGTGCAATTTTGTTTCACTCTGAGTGTCTTCCCAATGCTGTTGAAGCCCTGCCAGTGAATTCGGATCGTTTTCCTGGACGTTTCCATCCCTCGCCGCGTAGACGTGTTTATCTCATACAAAAGTATGTTAGAAAGACAAGGTACACCACAGCGCACAGTAGAACACCTAGGCAGTTCTGAATGTTGCACGAAATGAGTTTACAGCCTTGGATACAACTACGAGAAGTATTTACAAGCAACATGGACATTTTTTTACTTTCCGGCTGCTGTTTTATCGTTCGTAAGATGTGCTATTTTCCCTTTCCCCATTTTCCCAACCTTTCAGAACACTCCGTGTCTGTATGATAATAAATAAATAAAAAAAAATAATGTCAAATGATAAATGGATATTATGCCAAATAATCCAAAAGTGCAGCTTTTTTCCAGAATATTATTGGAAATGTATAATTTATCAAATAAGTTTATCATTCATTATACAGTTAATAATGAAAATATTGTTTTCATTTGAATCAATTACAGTAGGAAAATGCATGGGTTTTGAATAAAACCGCAAGGTGTGATGATAAACAAAAATAGTTTCATAAATGCCTAATCATTTTATTTTTTCAGTTAACATCCCTTATAAAAATAATCTACCACGAAACATTCAATAAATTAGATAATTGCGTACTATACCGGGGGTTCAAGAAATGTTTGACAATCACTTAATGCATTTTTATTTTCGTTTCTAATCAATGACTTTGTTTTGAATCTCAGGAAGCCTGAAATGGATGATTTGACTTTGAAGTGAATGCCAAAATCGAGCCCCTGGTATATCATAAAAATACGCAATTTGTACCAGCACTACAATACTTTTATCAATTCTAGTATAAGCCTTAAAATTATAGTCTAGCATGGATCATTGCTTGCCAATTTTGGCAATAGGAGGTTCCTAGTCGTACACATTTGGACTATGAAGACTACTTTGTCCTTTGAAAATTTCATGTCAGAGATACAAAACCTTAATGGACGCCACTGGGAACCGCTTTTTCTTGAATAACTATTGGTCAACTCCGTATAGTTAAACAAACTTATGCAAGGGTGAGAAATAGTTTGAGGCCTCACATGGTGGTACTCGTGGAAAATAAAATCCATTTCACCAGGGCCGGATCAGCCCTAATGTAAAATTACTGATTTTTGACATGCTGTATAAAAGCAGCTCTTTTATTTCAGGAAATGAAAAATGCTTTTACAGCTCCTTACGCATCAAGTGGTTATTATACTGTCAAGATTTCGTTAGGTGATGGGTACGGTGTTGTTCAAAGGTTATTTAAGAAAACTGATTTCCAGTGGCGTGCTTCAGGGGGGCGAAATTTCTAAAATCGTCAGGGGATAAAATGATCTTAGAAATAGTCCAAGGAATCACCTTTTTAATATTGTTTGAAAACACTGTATTTTATAATCCGTAAAAACTGATACTTACGAACATAATATGTGGATAACCAGATATATTTCTGCCTAGATGGTCGTCGTTATGTAGCTTGGTGGTTGAAAGTAGAGAGCGATAAAAATATAAGCATTTGCATGTCTAATAATGGCAAATCACCCATTTACATGTTCACAACTTACGTCCAAAACTTCTATGGTTGGAATACGTATATACCAAAGATGATGCGTTAAAATCTTATTACTGAACTATAGCTAGAACGTTATCACAAAACAAAGATCAGGAATGTAATTCATTTGGGCTTTACTAACCAAATAACATACCGGGTGTCTCAAGTTCGACTCTCTCACCATTGAGCTTTGCGATATGATACGACATACGACGCGGGGGTGAAGTTGCCGACTTAGGTGACTAAGAAAATGGCACTTGGATAGTTTCAAACTTTTAAGTACTGGGTGCGCCATCTGTTACTTTTTTTTTACGTATAAGTTTATGTGTTACCAGTCATGTGGTATGCATACATGAACTGTCAAAGGTATGCCATTTATAGTCATGGATTCGTTTACAACAAAACAACGCATTTTGGTTATGACTGAAAATCCACACCAATATCATGAACAACCTCTCCATCCTGAAAAAGTGACTGTTTTATAAGCTGGTGGCATCGTTGGACCATTCTTCTTTGAAATGCCATTACCGTCAACGGGGAACGTTATCGCGGCATGTTAACAGACCTTTTTGTGGCCACAATTAGATCGTATTGCCGACGATCTTTGGTTTCATCAAGACGGAGCAACGGCTCACACATCTCGCCAAACAATCGCCTCATTGCGCACCAAATTTCAAGACCACATAATTTCACGAAATTCAGATGTCAGTTGGCCCCCGAGAGAGATTTTACACCTCTTGACTATTTTCTTAGGGGATTTTTGAAAGGAAAAGTGTATGCAAATGGTCCCCGGACAATTCAAGACCTAAAGCGCAACATTCGGACTGAAATTGCGGCCATAGACCCGATTATTCTGGGAGAAGTCATTGAAAATTTTGATGTTTAGATGTTGGCCTGTTAACGAAGCCGCGGTGGTCACATGACTGATGTTATTTTTCATACATAAATGGCATAAACCAACCTTCATTTATCGATAAAAAAATTCGATTTCACCTCGTAAAAAGCGTGTTGATTTGTCAAATAGAAAAAAAGTAACAGATGACGCACCCTGTACTTCGAGAGATAGAAAAAAATAAGACTTATTTTTCCAAAATCGCTTTTATTTTTATCTGACTGTTTTCAAAATAAATTTCACATTAAGATCATAACGAAATTTTCGTATCCTGCCCCCATCATCAAATCTTTCTGATTTTGTATGGGTTAACTTCGACTTCAATGATACAAGCCATCGATCGATATTGTGAAACTAAAGGGTTGTCCAATAGGGACGCAGGAAAGTAAACGTCAATTTGACATAGACGCCATCTTTGTTTTCTGTCACCGACATGTCATTTTGTTAGTTGAATATTTACCATTGATCGCTATGTAGTCGTATTCGATTGAAGACCGCATTAAAGTTAGTCAAGAGCACTACAAAAATGGTGCAAAAATAAAAAACACGTTTCGCGCGCCTCGTGAACATTTCGGTCGCAACAACCGCCCAAACGAAACAACCATCGGTCGTCTGGTGCGTAAATTCGAGGCAACAGGTTCTGTGGCAAATCTGCCAGGCTCTGGCCGGCCAAGGAGCGTTCGCACACCGGAAAATATTGCTGTTGTGAAGGAGAGTGTGAGAGACGATCCGAAACAATCAACAACGCGTCGATCCCAAGAATTGGGCATTTCGAGAACCAGTTTGCTCCGCATTCTCCACAAGGATTTGAATGTACACTACAAGATCCAATTGACGCAAGAGCTGCGTCGGGCCGACCATTTTTCCTGCCGAACGTTCTCAGATTGGCTCCTTGAACATCACCAAATTGATGCCAATATTTCATCAAAAATCATGTTCAGCGACGAAGCGCATTTCACTTTGAATAGGACGGTAAACAAGCAAAACTGCCGCATCTGGGCGAACGAAAATCCCCGTGAGTATCAAGAGCAGCCGATGCATCCTCAAAAAGTGACTGTGTGGTGTGCATTGTGGTCAAAAGGCATCATCGGACCTTACTTTTTCGAAAATGCGGCCGGGGACGCCGTTACCGTCAATTCTGAGCGATATCACGTGATGATAGAGGACTATTTTTTGCCGCAACTTGAAGGAATGGATATGGACGATGTTTATTTCCAACAAGACGGTGCAACATGCCACACAACCAACGTCAATATCCATCGATTGCAGTCCTTCTTCGGTGATCGCGTGATTTCGCGCAAAGGAAATGTGCCATGGCCACCAAGATCGTGCGATTTGACTCCCTTGGACTTCTTTTTATGGGGATATTTGAAAAGCAAAGTCTACGTCAACAAACCAGCCACCCTCCAAGAACTCAAAAACAACATCATTGCCGAGATAAATGCCATAGAACCGACCATGTTGCAAAATGTCATTGAAAATTTCGACCATCGCGTGGATGTCTGTAAATCCAGTCATGGTGAACATTTGAGCGATATTATTTTTCATACATAAATGGTATAAATTAACCTTCAAAATAAAGTACCCAACTTGATTTGAATATCAATCTTTCTTGTTTTAATATGCGTTTACTTTCCTGCGTCCGTTTTGGCCAACCCCATACAATTATCTTAAAAAATATTAAATATATGAACGTCCGTTCAGATCATCAGCTGAGCATGAATTCAGTTTTTATGAACTGGACATAGTTTCTATTACTGATTTCTTGACGTAAGAAATTAATAAATACAGCAGGGTAATATGTGAAAAAAAAAACGTCAAAAAACGACAAAATGTCACTTTTCAAGATACGGAATACCCGTGCGGGTCTCCGTCTATATTTCAGAACTTCTGAACGTATAACATTCCATTTTTTAGTAACTTAAATTCATCACTTCGCCCTATAGCTCGTACGTATCACCGTTTTCGGGATTCCAATGGTGAACGTCGAATTAGGAACACCAAGCATATTTGCAAAATGTTGCCCTTAACCCTCGTAAAAGTCTAAGGATTCTGAAAACGCTATAATATGACTACTCATTTAGCATATGTCAAAGAATACTGATACTATACTTTAGTATTTCAGCTTACGCTAAACATGATAACGAGGGATAATTGAATATTTAGTTGCTTGACATGAATTACCGAATATTTTCGACATATAACAAAGACAACAATAAAAAGAAAACTTTAGCTGTTTGGATCGTTGCATTCGGTAATGTCGTGTCTTATAACAAAAAACGCTTACATACTGAAATACTATTAAGTAGAGCTGATAGCTTCAGAACCCAAAAAATTGATATCCTTACTAATTCTTAAATAAGTACAATTTCGTTATCTACATCTTATTTCCGCTACTCTCACTTTGCTTCTCATTGGTTACCTCAATTTCTGATACTGTGCTATAACTGGTAGTCGATAGGTCTGACGCAATGGATACGTCATCCAATTCGTCTGTCAGTTTTTTCCCAGCTATTTTGAGAGCGATAGCCACTATACCAATTACCGCTGCTATAGCGAGCATGGTGATTACAAAAATTGGTACTATGTTACTCTTGTAGTCACTTCCCGGTTCTTCATCCGCTGGCGTTCTCTCTTTCACTGGAAAGGAAAATAATTGTTAAAGGAACATTCTAAGTATTGACTCGATTTAGGCTTAAAAAGTATTGAACTGGAGCTCATGTATTTTACATCATTATAAAGGTAATTGAAAGACCTTTAAAATAAGGAATCACTCGACCCCCCTTTCCATTTAAGGTTTTAGGGTTGGTGTCATCCCCGCCCAGGGGGCTGCACGTGTTAACGTGATTTTTTGCCAAACTTGTGTCCCTCTCGAAAACAAAATCGACGGGTCTGAGCGTTTTTCCAAAAAGGAACTGAGCTGCCAGTAAATGCGTCTGTTTCGTTTTCGATGCGCCACCCCGTATAAAACAAGACTGTTGAATAAACGAAGTTATATCTCTAATTAACAACAACAAATAACTCTTAAATCCAGATAGATTTCAAGTAAGAAAATCTACTTGTTTTTGCCTTCTCATTGATGACAAACAAATGCCGCCTCTACACAAGCCTACACATTCCTCATGGACATATTTTAAGCATATTAGACACAGACACGTGTCACGTTTTTATCCTTGTCGCATATGAAACAGTCCCAGTTTTCGTCTTTATTCTTCTCTGAACCATTTAACGCACATCTAACCTTAAATATACAATTTACAAAATTGAAAACATTCAAAACCTGGCAACAGCAAATAACTACCTGCATGTGCATTATAGACGTATACTTTATCTGAAGTCACTTGAAACACTGTGAAATACCGGGTGCGTTTTATATATCTATATTTAACACGCTCTGTTGCTGTAAAAATCGCCAAATTTTGCAGCAAATATCCCCCGTATAAGATCAAAGGCAGTTCCACCGGTCCACGTGGAGTAAAGCACGCCTATGCGTGGACATAGCCAATGAGAAAGCGTGTATTTCAGAGCTCCGAACAAGTGCAGGTGGCTACTGAAAATTGAAACAGTTTAGCCAGTGCCGTGTAGCGGTGAATAAACGTGTTTTCTTTAGTCTGTCCGTGTTTTTTCATAGATTTTATTAGTTTGTGTGTTTTTGACTTTTGAATACTCAGTTTACTTGTTGATTTAATTGTTATGTTGATTGTTCTTGTGTGTCCTAAATATGGCTCTTTGGAGACCTTGGGAAAATGCTCCAAGCCACGAGGAGATGGTTGATGAACCTGTGCAGGCAGAATTCTTTCATAAAGATTTAGAGGAACAGACCCAAAGAGTAATCCTAAATATGTATGATTGTCTGAAAAACGAAAATCCAGATTCCTCGCAAAATCAAATTTTAAACAGAATTTGTATCCTGACAAATATCAGTCGGTCTATCATTTATCGGGTTATAAAAAGGGGAGATGTAGTCAACCATTCCTTCCACAGAAAGCGCATAGGACAAAATTTAAAAAGAATAGACGTGGGTTTTCAGGAAGATATTCGTCGTATAATATACGGATTTTATAAAGAAAATTTGGTGCCCACGTTGGAAATGATACGGGATAAATTAAAAGATTATCCTGAAGATTTTTATAATTACAAATGCTTAGACTCACTGCACTGTATTGTAAAACTGTGTGGTTTTCAATACAAAAAATTAGATAAAAGAATGGTGATTATGGAGTCGTCTCGAATCGTTGAATTGCGCCAAGAATTTTTGCACAAAGTTAAAATCCATAGAGAGCAGAAAAGAAATCTGATTTACCTGGATGAAACGTGGTATGATACCCATGATGTTGTGCAGTACGGCTGGGTTGACGACAGCAACAAGTGCATTTTAAATGCACCATGCAACCGTGGAAAACGAATCATTATTCTCCATGCTGGCAGTGAAAATGGATTTATACCTAATGCCTTGCTGTTATCTGCCAAAAATATCAAAGAATCATGTGCCGATTATCATGAGGACATGACCTCCGACTTATTTGAAAAGTGGATAGAGCAGCAGTTAATACCAAACATTTCCCCAAATTCAGTGATTATTATGGACAATGCGCGATACCATTCCCGACAGAAAAACAAAATTCCGAATACAGGCACAAAAAAACAAGACATTATTGATTTTATGAAGGATAAGGGAATGGAAATACCACAAAAATCAACCAAAGCCATATTATTGGATCTTATTAAAAGACAAAAATTTGAAAAAGAGTATGCTGTTGACAATCTGCTTCAGCAAAATGGCCATGAAGTATTACGTCTACCTCCCTATTACTGCATTTTTAACCCGATTGAGTTGGTCTGGGCTGCTTTAAAAAAAAGTAAGAAAACGTAATCAGACCCCTCAATTAAGTGAATCGCTATTGGCCACAATAAGAGATGCAGTATCTCATATTGCTGCCACAGACCTATGGAAGCAGTGTTCTAGGCATATTATTGAAAAAGAAAATGAATATTGTGTTTTGCCTCCTGTAAATCCCGTTGTAATTCCTCTACAAGATGACTCTAGCGACAGCTCCGAAGGCGAGGATTATATTTAAATACCTATAATGTAAGTCTTTATATACCTTTTTATATACCTACCTGCTATGTAAATATTTGCCTAAGTCAAACGTTGGAATTCTGTAATTTTTCCATTTCTTAACTTTCAGTCAACATAAATTAAACTCCCAATATAAGTATTTTTTATCCCAAATCAAAAAAATAAGAAGATAGTAAAATCCATTTATTGTGATATAAAAACATTATTATTATCGTTCTAAATAAATGACCGCACGCCTATGATACGTCATGAAATTACAAAGGAAGCGCCGACCAAAGGTTTTTATGCTATTTCAAGTGACTTCAGATAAAGTATACCTGATTGAATTAGCAAGAGATTCCGCAAAAAGAAGCCGACAACATGCAAAAACGGAGACAAATTTAAAGCAGAAATTTTATAAGGCGTTGACAACCGACGCTGCCCTACTGCGCTATCTAGCGCCGCTCCACAGCCGCTGAATTTATAGCTGCTAACTGTTCTCAATAAATTTATAGATCAATTTTAAGTGTTAATAGTTTCTGTAAAATCTACGCATGGCCTTATTAGGTGCTTGGCCTTATTTGGTACAACTATCCTGCCAATTATCGTGGGCGCCAGCAGGAATTTTTCCCACTAGGACCAGTACAAACATACGAATTGCTCTCGAAGTTTTTTTATAGAAAAAAAGAAGTGATCCGGTGTCTCCGGGTGTTTTTAAAACGTGGGATAAAAGTTCAAGAGAATATTATGAGACTATTTTGTCCTCTACCCTTTCTCACTTCTTTGGTTTTGTATCAAAATCAACACCTTTGCAACTGGATATTGAAAAGGTTGACTTTGTACAAAAAAGCCAAGTTTACTTGGGCTGCGAATGTTTCGTGTTCTTACGTCTAACGGCCCTGTTCCAACAGCCTTAATTGACAATTAAAGTCTTGGTAACTTTTTGTATGATTAACTTATATGCTTTTAATGATCGATGCCTATAAGCAGGAAGCTAGGCGTAACGTATAATGGGCCTTTTGTTAAGGTGCACGCCTTATTCTTCCTCATAATCGAATTGTGATATGCGCCAATTTGCTTTGAGAAAGTTGGTACAATGTTAGGCGGTCAGGGAGTCAGTTGCATCATTTGTTGTACAGCCGAGAGCAAGTCTAACGAGTCCTGATTAAATGCATGTTCGACTAACTGCGATTAAGAGGAGCGTTTAAATTTGCACAGTCTGTAACTGATATTGTCACGTGTATTATTTCCACATTATCTTGTTTCCATATTTTTTGTAGAGGAATATATTTCTTGTTTTTCTCATTATACTTTGCTTTTGTGTTATGTTCGCTTGGCACTGTTATATCAATAAGGTAGGATTAGAACTGTCATGCCGCTTAGCAATAATTTTTCCGGTCCCAGTACATTTTGTGTGTTGCGTTCTCCATTACGACATCCAGGCAGTATACTGAATGACAAGAAAAGGTAAACACCTATGTATGCTTATTCGATTTTAATAATTTTTGACATATATGTTCAGTGTCCCTTACTAGTAAAATGATTAAATTTCAAGCCTGACTCGTCGACTGACTGCAGAAGCTCGTTCAACAATGTGTTGAGGATCCACGATTTATTATACACTCATTGACACGCCTGAGCATCGTGCTGATAAGGTGGTCGATATCCTGTTGGGGATGTCTCATTCCAAGCTATTGCAACTTCGTGAGTAAGAGCTGCTAAAGTCTGTGCAAATTCAAGAGTCGTCGACCTATCATGTCCCAGACACGTTCAATTGGAGATAGGTCAGGCGATTGTGGTGGCCAAGGAAAACGGTTGATGCAATGTTGATACATGAAGGTTGTCCTGTTTTTTCTGTAAAAAAGCATCATGTTGGAATCAAAAAGTGGTCTTGTTTATAATACAGTCGAATTTTCAGGATTTTATTCAATATTTCAATGGAAATCACTAATATTCAGAGACCTTTGACAGCTTCTGTCAAATTGCATTTCGATAAGGTATTTTCCCATTGGTCCACAATATTAATGTTGGTGAAATTGGGCCTAAATGTCATATGTCATTTTTAGGCACCAAGAAAACTGGCGAGTAATATGGAATAGCGTTATCTGGTAATATGGTATATGAGACACGACATAAGTAATAGATACAAAACAAAAATTATAAAGTTGTTTATTTTTTATTTGGAAACGTTAAAGAACTACTATTTACAAAAGTCGCATATGTATGTTTCATGATCGTTGCCTGTACAGGCTTCACGCGCGCAGCATTCGCACATGACACATAAAATCCAAATTTCTCGGCTTCTACTTTTAGAAAATAATTCTTCACAGAAAACACAAATAACATCTGAGTTAGGCTCTTTAGAAGTCAACTAGGCTACGGGAATATCATCATCCGAAGAATCCTGATCGTTTGCTCTGGATTTTTCCCACCTAACTTGGCCAGCGGGAAATTGTCGTCGGATGAATGTTGTGATTCTGAACTTGACGTTGTTGGCTTGGGTCTTTTGCGTATTTGCTTGGGCATGGACCTAATACTAGGTTCTGGTGTGTCATCATCAATCCTTCTCACAACCTTTTCC